AAATAACATACAACACCTTCATTGTCACAAACATACCTTTATCCCTTTTAACACATTCACAACTCATCACGCATTCATTGTTACAACACACTCATACATGTTTATAACAATCAACCACTCACAACATACTCATTTTGATAAACATACTCATATCCATTTTAACACATTCACAACTCATCACACATTCATTGGTACAATCTACCCATACATGTTTATAACAATTAACCACTTGCAACATACTCATTTATGCTTATGACCATAAATATCTCACACACCATCATTATCACACAACATAACTATTATCATAAACAAACCACACATAACATATTGTTCATCATATACACATTAACGTTAGAACCATCTTTAATGACGGTGTATTACCATAAATGAGCATATAGCGTTTTACTCAAATAAACGGTTTTCCCACACATATATCTCCACTTTTATGGCTAATACATCCTCATGTAAAATATAGACTCTCACATGGACCACAAACACTCAAATGAGTTTCTATCCGTTAATATGCTCCGATTCTTGAGGGAAATCAGAGATGATGACTTTAATGAAATACTCTAAGACCACAATGGTCTTCTCCCTCACCTTAGGTTACGTAAGCTCCGTTGCTCCGCAAAAAAGCCACATCTCCCTTCATCTCTTCCAACCTCCATTGTTGCTTTTTCACCTCCAAGCTTTTCCAAATGTGTCACCATGAAGCAAGAGGAAGGTTTTGATGAGTTTTGAGGCTTAGTGGAGGGAAAAATTGTCCATTTGGGTGGAGCCACCGTGGGGAGAGAAAGGGGTAAAAAGAAAATGAAGATTAGGGTCCCTTTTTTCACTTTTATAGTCACAGCGATCAGTGTAATCGATTACCATAAGTGTGTAATCGATTACACTGTGTCAGATGCACATATCTGATACTTTTAATACGATATAATCGATTACGAGTACAGTGTAATCGATTACATCATGAAAAATTACACATGTCTGATCAGATATCTGCATGTAATCGATTACAAGGACCATGTAATCGATTACATCATGAAAAATTACACATATCTGCATGTAATCGATTACAGGGACCATGTAATCGATTACATCATGAAAAATTACACATGTTTGATCAGATATCAGCATGTAATCGATTACAAGGACCATGTAATCGATTACACTGTGTTAACAGCCCAAAATTGTCATTTCTCGCCCAGGCGAGACAACTCTAGCTCGGGCGAGAATCCTCCAGTATAGCCCAGGATTTCACCCTCCCAGGTGATCCTTTCTCGCTCAGGCGAGAATCTCTCGCTCAGGCGAGAATCTCTCGCTCAGGCGAGAATCTCTCGCTCAGGCGAGAATTCCAGGACTGATACTAAAATTTTAAAGACTAAAATTCGGGGTGTTACACATTATGTCATATATTATTCATTTGAATTACTTTTTTTTGAATAGTAAGTGATGATTAAATATAAATGATAGATGATGCAGTGACATTGTATAAAACTCATACAGAGTCGGTGCATACACTTTGTTATCATACTTAAATATGTTATGTAAGCGAAAACTTTTAATATTAACTGCATCCACATGTTCTATAATTGATATCAATTTAATAAAATATTAAAAGTCAGAATGAGAATTATGGATGAATTTAATTTTCTTGAATTTTAAATGAAATTGAAAAACAAATAATATCATTTTTAAATTTCTGTTTTTTTGATGAATTGGATATTCATCCAAATGGTTATATCCATGAATATCCATGAGATGTAATGGATAGATTCAAATCCATCAATTACTAAAGTTATTCATTTGAATCCATCTATTTAAATTCATTAGCTCTAATGGATGAATTTAGATGAATTTAATTTTTTTGGATTTGGATGAATTGTGGGTTGTGGATAATTTTTGTCACCGCTAATAGTAGTAAAGATGAATTTTACTCATTAATATGATGAGAACTTTTATTCTTATAATTTTATCTGATTTGTTTTATAGTAACTATTTAGTATACAAACCATAATATTTGATTTTTTAACAAGTAAATATATAAACACAATCAATAAAAATGATTACATGGTGGAACCTTCTTCCTTAATGGTTAGGGTGGTATTTATAAACCTTCATATGGAAAATTTTAGTTTATGCATTGCATTCACAAAATGACATTGATTTGATTCTAAACATCCAATTAAATAAACTATTTAATATTGCATAGAGGAAGGGCACCACACTCAAAGTTTTTCATATTAGTTCATACACTAGAAAACTCAACTTGCAACATTCATAGTGAACTTGCAAGCTCTTAAACAAAGTTAATAATATGAGATAAGCTCTAATGATATATAAGTTTTGTTTTGAGGTATTGAATAAAACTCTTATGAATTTGATGAGTTTAAAAGACAATGAAAATCCTGCGAGGAAGTTATTATTTTTGGTGGTGACTTCAAGCATATCCTTCTAGTCATTCCAAGAGGAAGTGGTTCTAACATTATTAATATAACAATATATGATTAACGTCTTTCTGATAATCTCCAAGTATTAACTTTAACAAAAGATATGTGTATGCAACATAGTATGCACAACACAAATGAATTACAACTTAAACAATATGCAGAATAGATTTTAGATGTAGGCGATTAAAAAATTTCTACATCAACTAATGGATATGCATCAATTGAGATACTAGAATGATGACTTCTTACAATGTAGAATTGTTTTGGCATCAAAAATGAGACTTTTGATAAAATAAAGGGATCATTGGTTATGTGTAATTATTTAAATGCTCAATGCTTTGCTGACACATCCATATTAATAACACAACATTAACACCTTTATTTCTAAATGAAGGTGATGAAAGAGAGTATTTAAGCTCGAACTCTATTGACAAGTCAGAGGCTAATAATAATCGAGCTCCTTATGGATGTCAGGTTTACATAATCATTCAATCAAATTGAAAATCAGAACTCCAATAATATTATTGAAAAATTTAGAGTAATTTGAAGGATTACACTATAGAACAATAAAGAATATCAATAGATTGACGAACCATTCTATTGAAGTAAGGATAATGACAGAGAAAAATGTTGGGGAGATGTTCTACATTCCACGAATGAGTTTGTCTTCATCCCTATAACCATGACATTTCAAACTAACAAGGAAACATTTTTCTTTGATTGTCTCATATGCCATGACAATCAACAAGGTACAAGGTCAATCACTAGCAAGTATTGAGTGATACTTACCTTAACCTGTTTTTAGAAATGGTCAATTATATGTGGTTTTTCTAAAGTTTAAAGCATACAAACACTAAAAATATTAATACATTATAAAGAAAGAAAAACACTAAATACTACAATAAAGATTGCCTTTAATGAGATTTTCCAAAATAGTGAATGTATCTCATCTGCTGTTTCTTGAAGCAGTTTCCTCAACTAATTGAATATGTAACAAAATTATTACAAGTTGTTCTTTATCTTATAGAAATAGTATGGTATATCTTTGATAGAAAATTATGATATTCACATTATTCTTTTTTTATAGCTTAACCTGAATCATGAGCTAAGCTATATTTACATTATCAATATATTCATGTATCAACATGACCATCACTATGTCTATATTTAAACTACCCTATCTTGTATGGAAATGCTATTCCTATTCCTATAATAGGTTAATATTTATGTGTTGTTCTAAGGCTATAGAATATTGGACACATGAAGATTGGATGCAATACATGTCCTTAATGTGAATCATTATACTTGATTTGGAATTTATTCACAACATATTTTCTGACTTATCATTTGTCTTAAGTGTAGGATTATTATAGTGTGCAATACTAGGGATGAGAATGAAAACCGAACCCAACCGAATCTAATGGAGAAACCTGATGTGATTGGATTCGGGTTTTACCCTTGTTTAATTTTCGGGTTTGGGTTTGCTAGAGCTTAAACCCTACCCCGAACTCGTCCCGAAGTAATGTAATTCTAATTTACAATTGAAAGTTTTATCATGTATCTATTTTCTTAATTTTTAATTTAACTTTACATATTGTTCACTCTTCAAACATTAAAAAAATGAAATGATACAAAAGAAAATGGTATCAGTCTTGGGAACCTCGCTTGAGCAAGAACGGTGTCGCCTGGGCGAGAGTGGCTCATCTGGGTGAATGAAATACTGGACTATATTGTAGGATTCTCGCTTGAGCGAGAGTGTTCTCGCCTGAGCGAGAAGTGGCATGCTGGGGCAGTCAAGGCTGTAGGATTCTCGCTTGAGCGAGAAACCCCTCGCTTAAGCGAGAGCGCCAGATCTGAAACTTTAAAAAGGCGGGATTTTCTCGCCTGAGCGAGAAAAGGGCTCGCTTGAGCGAGAACCTGACGAGTTTGCTTTATAATAGAAACCCCAAACACATTTTAGGGTTATAAATTGAGAGAGAAGAGAGGAGAAAGTGATTTTGAGAGCAAGAACTCGTGGGAATCATCTAGAAGCTTGAGAAGAGGTAAAACTCTTGATTCTAACTCTCTTCTTCCCTTTGAAACTCATTTTGGGTATGTTGGATCTCTTCTCAAAATGTGTAAAACCATGGAAACTCGCCCTTTTGAGTTATGGTTCGTTTTAGGTTGTTTTTATCTTGTAAAATCTTGGTTTAGAGTTAGTATTTCAAGAATAGAAAAGGTTGGTGGGTTGATTCGTGAAAAAGTGAAAATGTGGTTAAAGTGGAAAATGGATAAAATGCTAGAGGTAGGAGATGAGTTTACCTTCTAATGCTGAAATATGAGATGAATATGTATGTTTTAGATGATTATAAACTTACAATGAGAGTAGTTTAGAAACATTGAAAATGTGTTAAATCTCTTAAGTGGTTAAAGATGCAAAATGAGTTATTTATGTGGTCTTCTTGGGATAAATTGTGACGACCCGATTTTCTACCCTTGAAAATTTTTCATTCATTTTAATCATTTTGCATGCATTTTCCTACACTTACTATCATACTTGCAAATTCCATAATCACCTACACTTGATTTGACAGAAAAACATAATTCATATTCGTAATGTCTCACGGATAATGAGACCCCATAAGTATAGTTCTCCGAAATAACCATACACCCAGTTACAAATATCCGACTAATGGTTAGCTATGATTACAATCATTTAAATCCGCAAGTAGTCATTTAAGATACAAAAACATAAATAGTGAATCCAACGTCTAAAGCTCCTAAAGCTCCCGAACTAGCATACTCCATTCATCTATTTACCTGCAATGGGATTATCAATAACAAAAGTACAAAACACACAAAGGAGTAAGTCGTTAATTCAATAAATGTCATTATAAGATAATCCACATTAGAAAAAGGGTTAGTAAACCATTTCCGAAATTCATTTTGTCTTGCTGCATTACTTGAGCCGAAGTCGCTACACCCCTTAGGGTTAGCTAAAAACAAATTCTCATCTCTTTTATAAAGAAAACATGCCGCGTAAACTCGGGCTGAAGTATTGCTACATAAACTCGAGCCGAAGTCGCTACACCCCTTAGGGTTAGCTAAAAACAAATTCTCATCTCTTTTATAAAGAAAACATGTCGCGTAAACTCGGGCTGAAGTGTTGCTACATAAACTCGAGCCGAAGTCGCTACACCCCTTAAGGTTAGTTAAAAACAAATTCTCATCTCTTTTATAAAGAAAACATGCCGCGTAAACTCGGGCTGAAGTGTTGCTACATAAACTCGAGCCAAAGTCGCTACACCCCTTAGGGTTAGCTAAAAACAAATTCTCATCTCTTTTATAAAGAAAACATGCCGCGTAAACTCGGGCTGAAGTGTTGCTTCATAAACTCGAGCCGAAGTGTTGCCTCGTAAACTCGGGCCGAAGTGTTGCCTCGTAAACTCGGGCCGAAGTGTTGCCTCGTAAACTCGGGCCGAAGTGTTGCCTCGTAAACTCGGGCCGAAGTGTTGCCTCGTAAACTCGGTCCGAAGTCGCTAACCATTTATGGTCGGCTAAAAATATATTTTCTTTTCATTGAATTCACCATCAATCATTTCCCGTAAATCCACGCCATCTTTAGTATAAACACACCCATATATGTTTATACTAAATGCGCAATTTACAACTTATTCATTTCATAACCAGAAAATACCCACATTTTCCTTTTCCGTAAATCTACGCCATCTTTAATATAAACACACCCATATATGTTTATACTAAATGCGTAATTTACAACTCAATCTTTGCATAACCAGAAAATACACATTTTCTATTTCAAATGCAAAATTAAAGACTTATCCTTACCTTGGTGAGTATTGGGGTTCGGTTCTTGGCAACTTCTCTAGTTCTACCGACACCACCTCCAACCTTAGGATCTTTCCTCATCCCACCACATAACATAATGTTAGTCATTTATTCCAAATATCACATAAACAACTTATATTGCATCATTTAATCATACAAAATATTCATCATCAATATTCAACCATCTAAAACATGCATAACATCTCATATTTCAATATTTGGGGGTAAACTATTCTTCTACCTCTAGCATTTTACTCATTCCCTCCTTTTACCACATTTTCACTTTTAGGGTTTTTGGGGTTTTCATGAATCAACCCACAACCCTTTCCATTCTTGAGATGCTATCTCTAAACCAAGAGTTTACAAGATAAAAACAACATAAAACAAACCATAACTCTAAAGAATGAGTTTCCATGGTTTCTCATGTTTTGAAAATAAATCCAACATACCCAAAACAAGTTAGAGAGGAAGAAGAAGAGTTAGTAACAAGAGGTTTACCTCTTCTCAAGCTCCAAGATGAGTCCTAAGGCTCCTTGCTCTTGAAAAGCTCTCCTCTCTCTCTTCTCTTCCAAGTTCTAACCTAAAATGTGTTTTGGGTTTCTATTTTATAGACACTGCGATAAGTGTAATCGATTACAAGTATAGTGTAATCGATTACATTGTGTAAATTATAGAGGCATCGTCGCTATGTAATCGATTACCAACATGGTGTAATCGATTACATTAATACGATGTAATCGATTACCAGAAGTGTGTAATCGATTACATTAATACGATGTAATCGATTACCAGAAGTGTGTAATCGATTACACAATGTAAATTATAGAGGCATCGTCGCGATGTAATCGATTACCAACATGGTGTAATCGATTACATTGTGTCAGATGTACATATATGATGCTTTTAATCATCATGTAATCGATTACCAGGACTGTGTAATCGATTACATCATGCAAAATACAAATATCTGATGCTTTTATCAGCATGTAATTGATTACCAGGACTGTGTAATCGATTACACTGCCCAAAATTGCCATTTCTCGCCGAGGCGAGACAACTCTCGCTCGGGCGAGAATCCTCCAGTATAGTCCAGGATTTCACCCTCCCAGGTGATCCTTTCTCGCTCAGGCGAGAATCTCTCGCTTAAGCGAGACTTCCAGGACTGATACTCTAATTTTTAAAGACTAAAATTCGGGGTGTTACATAAATGACTAATATTTGTGTGATTAGGTGGGAATGAGGAAAGATCCTAAGGTTGGTGGAAGTCGCGGAGGAGATTGGTAAAGTACCCAAAAACCGACCCCAATGTTCACCAAGGTAAGGATAAGTCTTTAATTGCACTTTGTAATGAAAAATGTCCGGATTTTCCGGTTGTGAAAGGGATTGAAATGCAAGTCATTTGTTTATTATCAACATGCGTGAGTATGTTTATAATAAAGGAATGTATGAAATGGTTAATTGTAAATCGTTGATGTGTCAACGAAAAGAAAACATGTTTTTCGCCGACCATGGATGGTTAGCGACTTTGGGCTCAAGTTATGTAGCGACACCCTGGCTCGGGTTAAGGAGGCGATACCGCGGCTCCAGTTATGTAGCGACACCCTGGCTCGGGTTAATGCGGCGAGACTGTGGGTTCCCATTATGAAGCGACATTTTGGGCTCAAGTTACGTAGTACGATTTTGTTGTGAAACAATGGTATGGTCTTGCGATGAATATGCATGCTATAGAATATATATTATGGGATATATATACTATGGGATGAATATGGATTCGTGGAAAAGAAAGAGATTTGGAAAGAATGAATATGCATGCTATAGAATATATATTATGGGATATATATGCTATAGGATGAATATGGATTTTGGAAAAGAAAGAGATTTGGAAGGAATGTATATGCATGCTATAGAATATATATTATGGGATATATATACTATAGGGTGAATATTAAAGATAAGGAAAAAGAAAGAGATTTGGGAAGAATGTATATGCATGCTATAGAATATATATCATGGATATATATATATATATATATATATATATATATATATATATATATATACTATAGGATGAATATGAATAATATGAGAGTAAAAGAAAGTATATACGGATGGTTTTCTTCTTGTAATTGTAATATGTGTTTTCATTCTAATGTTTATATTGTATGTAAAATGTGGATTATATAACAACGATGATTACTGAATTAATGACTTACTCTGTAACACCCCGAATTTTAGTCTTTAAAATTATAGTATTAGTCCTGGAAGTCTCGCTTGAGCGAGAGATTCTCGCCTGAGTGAGAAAGGATCACTTGGGAGGGTGAAATCCTGGGCTATACTGGAAGATTCTCGCCTGAGCGAGAGTTGCCTCGCTTGGGCGAGAAATGGCAAACTGGGGCTGTTTACACTGTGAGATTCTCGCCTGAGCGAGAATCCCTCGCTTGAGCGAGAGGAAGCCTGTTGGGACTGTGAGATTCTCGCTTGAGCGAGAGGGTCAGATCTGAGTTTTTAAAATAGGCGGAATTTTCTCGCCTGAGTGAGAAAGGGCTCGCTTGAGCGAGAACCCGATGACTGCTCTTTAAAATAGAAACCCTAAACACATTTTAGGGTTAGAACTTGAAGAGAAGAGAGAAAAGAGAGCTTTTCAAGAGCAAGGAGCCTTAGGACTCATCTTAGAGCTTGAGAAGAGGTAAACCTCTTGTTTCTAATTCTTCTTCTTCCTCTCTAACTTGTTTTGGGTATGTTGGATCTATTTTAAAAACATGAGGAACCATGGAAACTCACCCTTTAGAGTTATGGTTCGTTTTATGTTATTTTTCTTTTGTAAACTCTTGGTTTAGAGTTGATATTTTGTGAATGGAAAGGTTTTGTGGGTTATTCATGAAAACCCCAAAAACCCCCAAAATGAGAATAGGGGTATAAAGATAAAGAGATGAACATGTATGTTTAGGTGTTTGGAAACTTGTATTGAAGTAGTTTTGGAAACCTTGAATATATGTAAATCCCTTGTATGTTTGATGATGAAATACGAGTTATTTATGTGTTATTTTGAATAAATGTCTGACATTGTTGTTATTGGTGAAAATGAGAAGAGATCATAAGGTTGGAGGAAATCACGGAGGAGACTTTTAAAGTTACTCGGAACCGATCCCCAAAGCTCACCGAGGTAAGGGATAAGTATCTCTAAATCATACTTGCTGATATGAATGAGGTATGTGAAGGAGGTAATGGTTTAAAATGATACGTCTGTAATTTATGCATTATGTTGGAAAATGCGTGAATTTTCTGTTATGGCAAATGAAATCAATATTATTGGGGGAGTACCAATGGAAATATAACTCAAAGGAAATAAATATTATTGGGGAGTACCAATTGAAATATGACTCAAAGGAAATCAATATTATTGGGGGAGTACCAATGGAAATATGACTCAAAGGAGATAAATATTATTGGGGGAGTACCAATGGAAATATGACTCAAATGAAATCAATATTATTGGGGGAGTACCAATGGAAATATGACTCAAAGGAAATAAATATTATTGGGGGAGTACCAATGGAAACATGACTCAAATGAAATCAATATTATTGGGGGAGTACCAATGGAAATATGACTCAAAGGAGATAAATATTATTGGGGGAGTACCAATGGAAATATGACTCAAATGAAATCAATATTATTGGGGGAGTACCAATGGAAATATGACCCAAATGAGATAAATATTATTGGGGGAGTACCAATGGAAATATGACTCAAATGAAATCAATATTATTGGGGGAGTACCAATGGAAATATGACTCAAAGGAAATAAATATTATTGGGGGAGTACCAATGGAAATATGACTCAAAATGAAATCAATATTATTGGGGGAGTACCAATGAAAATATGACTCGGAGCACATGAATGTCGTATGCATGCTATAGGATATATAGTATGGGATATATATTCTATAGGGTGAATATGAGCGATAAAAATGAAGATGTTGAGAAAGAAAGTAATATACATGCTATAGGATATATATTAGGGGATATTTATGTTATAGGGTGGATATGAATAACGAGACAGATGATGTTTCGAACGAACGTAATATACATACTATAGAATATATATTATGGGATATATATACTATAGGATGAATATGAGTAAAGTGGAAATTAAAGGAAGATTATTTGAATGTTTACAATTCCGTATGTGTGTTTACGAATTATATTAAAGTTTAATTGTATTTGAATGTGAATTATCACGTGATGTTAGTTTTGAACTAATGACTTACTCCCTTTTGTTTTGTGTGTTGTTTATGATAATCTCATTGTAGGTAAATGAAGGATTTTGAGGATGAAGCTCAATTAGGAAGCTTTTGTGTTTATTTACTCGATTGTCTTTATTGCTATTTGACATTGTAGTTGATTTGATAGTATTTTGGGATAAATGTAATCTGATTTGGATAATATGGTGACATGTAGTTATGGACGTTATAACCCTGGAAAACCCATAACTGGATGTATGTGGTAAATGCTATCTGAATGAATTATGTTTTTCCGCAACATAAATTTGTATGATAATATGATAGGGTAAAGAGTATTTTCAAAGAGAGATACTTGACAATTTTTAATGAAGGCGGCGACTGTATGTAAGAAAGGATTAAAATAAATGAAAAATTTTCAAGGGTAGAATTTAGGTCGTTACATACTCCTTTGTGCGTTTTGTGTATTTGTTATCAATAATCTCATTGCAGATAAACAGGGAAATTGAGGATGCTCGTTTGGGGGCTTTAGGAGCTTTAGACTTGGACATTCATTAATTATGTTTTGTGCTTTAGATGACTATTTGTGTAATTGCATGACTGTAATCCTGGATAACATATACTTGGATATTTGTAATTATGTGTAATGCTACTTTTGAGGATTACGACCTTTGGGTTCTTAGTAACCCTGGGGGATGATATGAATGAATTATGTTTTTCTGTCATATGAAGAGTGTTATAATATAACATATTAAATAAGAGTTTACGGAATGACTAATGAGCGATTAAGGTAATAGGATGTATGTATGCATGAAGGAAATTAAAATAAAGGAAAAAATTTCAAGGGTAGAATTT